AGGGCCAGATGAAGGACTGTGGAATATACAGTCAATGACCTTTTGTAGACAGACAAGGTCAGTAAGATGAGAGGCTGTGAACTGGGTGAAGGGAAGGCATCCCTAAGTTGCTGCTTACGGGGTGGATGTAGAGGAAAGCGCTTCCCCACATCCCAGCAGTTCTATGCACAGCCTCAGAGGTCTGGGCTGGGGACCTGCACAGGAACTCATTTCTCTGGGCCCCTGGTAGCTCTTGCTTCAGAGTTAACTCCACTCTGGGCAAATATTGCAAGATGTGGCCTTGGTACCTCACCTCAGAACTCACACTGTCTTGCCTGTGCTTTTCCCAGTCCAGTAACTTGTGAGAAAGGCTGGGGAGAACAGAGGAGCTACTGCCAAGGGTAAGAGGTGAGAGTAGCTGTTCTGTGTGGCTGCACCAAGTCTATGCCCCACTCACATCCCTGTCTCAATCCCTTGCCATCTCCTAAGTGAATCTGAGTAGTCTCTGTAGCCTTCACCTCTGTACTGTGACTCTGAAAGGAGCCGGGAGTCGTAGCTGCTGGGTCCTGTTTTACAGCCCAATTGTTTACTCCAGGGGCTCTCACTTAACCCAATGCTTTGCTCTCTGGGAGTGAGAACAGTGCTCTTGCAGCAGCCGTCTCACTCCTGGCTTCAGAGCCTCCACTATGCACACTGATGTGGGACCTGCCTCTCTCCATCCTTGCCCCAAGCCCATGCCATGGCCTGTTGCTCTCCCCATCATACTCAAGAATTGTGACAGAAACAGCTATCAGAGCAAGGATAAAAGATGTGTAAGTAATACATCCACAAAATACTCTTAGCTTCCTTCTCTCATCATGTATTATGACTTGCATTTTACAGTCCAGGAAGCTGAGGGAGAAAGAGAGATGGGGCTTTCTGCAAGGTCACAGAGCTGGCCAGAGTCAGAGTCAGAATTCAAAGACTCACCAAGCTCTAACTGCAGGGCTTTGCCACCACAATGTGTGATCTGCAGAAGCCAGCTAAGAGAAGGATCAGATCATATAGCATGTTGGCTATCCTCTAAATACAAGCTGGACAAATATTGGCCAGTTCCCCTAGAGGAGATACACACACACACACACACACACACACACACACACAGCTCTGTCTATATTTCAGACTTTCCCTTGCTAAGAAAATTACCCAAGCATCCAGACTCACATGCATATATATTCATTGCCCCTCTGTCACCCTTCTCCTCTTAGGATGTATAAGGCACCAGTCACTATTGCAACAAAAGGACCCAAGTATTCAGTCAGCAGGTATGATTTTGGTTGTTACACTTTTTTTGTTTTGGAAGTCAACCAAAGTAGGCCATCAGACCTGGTCCATATTATTAAATGTGGATTATTGTCACAATTGAGGCTATCTGCATTCTATTTTTCCTTGGGGTAATGTAATGCGTTTATGGTCAGCATAGTGCTTAGCATGTAGTAAGAGCTTACTAAATGTTTCTTTCAAAAGAATCTTTTTAATATACCATTTTTCTTACTTCACTCCCTTGATAAACTCATAATGGCTCCCTGCCTCCTGCCCTAAGGCCATATAAGTGGCCCTCACTGAACCCCATCACCAACCCAGGTAAGATTAGCACCTCCAGGGCTACCTCATCATCATTCTCACGGGGCTTCTCTGGTTGGAATCCCTCCCTGCTCCTCTTTCAAGACCAAGGGTCAAGTCCCCTCTCCCGTGGCAGCTTCCGCTCACCATGACTGTCCTCTGGGCTTTTCCCCTGAGCTAAACTGCTAGGCACTAACTACCCAGAAAACTCCTGGTTCTTAGCCACATACTATTTTACTTTGCTATTTAATAGTTCCACAAATAATATCTTTTAAAAATTGGAAGACCATCAAGTACCAAGACCACAGAGTAAATGCTTTCTGTAGTACCCAGAATGTTAATCCAGAGTAGCAATATAATAAGGATTTTAAATATTCAAATTAAATTAAATTAAAATCCCATTCTAATCAAAGCTTACACAGTATATTAGTTATCAATCTTGAATGCATGAACTCCCTTAAGAGAAAAAAATTCTCATAAACATCCAATGTTTACTTTATTTTTATTGTCACTTAAGCATATAAACATAAAACTAAGTATAAACTCCTAATAAAAGCTTAAGGTTCTTAAACTACTATAAATCCCAAATGAACCTATAAAATTAAATATAAATAATAGTATAAAATTCAAATTAACAGTATAAGTTTATTGTGATGTATGATGTTTGCCATAACCAAACCACGTCTTGTATTTGTAACTGCTACAGTCCAGATTTTTTCGAGTTTTGAACTTGGTAGCAAAATTTCTTATACCATTTTTTTTTTTCTTTTCAGTGGACAGTACAAAGTAAAACCTTAATTCTAGCAGGGTGGTATTAGGACAATACGACCTTATTTAGCAAATGGCATCATCATTATTAAGTCTTTCCTGTTTTTATCATAGACAAAATCACTGTGTGCTGAAATCACATGGCAGAGTTTGGGTTTATGTGGTTATCCAGGATATTTAATGGAGCTTATATTAGTAGTTTAGATTTATCATTGGAATTATAAAATCAGATTAAAATTTACTCTGAGAAAACTTTTGATCATCAAGAATCTGTCTAGTCCCTTAATGAATAACACTGTCAACACAGTAATAGAAGAAATATTTAAAGCATAGAAAAAATGGAATTGTCTTCCTTCCCTTTCCATGAGAGACTGTTGGATAGAGATGTATCATCTTATTTTTTTCTATTGCTAATTCTATTCTTTTAAGATTATTACTGAAATCTATTTTATTTCTTATTAGAAAGCAACATACTCATAGAAAATTTAAAGATCATTTATAAGCCTAGAAAATGAACAAAGGTCCCCAGCATTCCCCATTCCAGAGATAACATTGATGGCCCATATATTAGTGCTTAATCTCCTGCTTTTTCTACTTTAATGGCATTATCAATGGACATACAGCGATCACCACATGCCAGGAAATGTTCAAAGAATTTAACTTTCATAAATTCATTTACTATGCACAACAAAATTATGGTAGAGGTATTAGAAGTCTTTTTGTTTTGCATGTGATAAATTGAAGGCTGAAGGGTACAAATTGCTTTCAAACACAAAACTAGTAAATGGTAGAACAGGATTCTAATTGAGGTAAAATATAACCATATAAATAAAACAAAAGAAATCAAATAGGAGATCACACTGAATAGAGTTTAGGATATTGCTTATTTCTCTCAAAAATATCATGAACATCTTTCCATTTTAGTAACTAATGTTTGTAGGTCTCAGATGGTTATATTCCATTCTAAAAGCATCATATTATGCAACTCCAATTTCATTGAAAGGATTCTAGGTAGTTTTTAATCTTTAATTATTACAAACAGTGCTGAGATGAACATTCTTGAACCTAAATCTTTGAGTATATCCTTACTTGGGGAATTATATTCAGGACTTAACAATCTAAGAAGAAAAGTATACAGGAATCTCAGTCTGCTCAGTCTAACATTGTAACTGTTGATTTTATTCACTGAATAAGTACTTGGTTTCACATAATGTTCAATCATGTGTATTTGCTTAGCATTCAATCAAATTTTAAGTTTCCCAATGCTAATAGGCGCTTCTCTGCTACCAGTACACAGAAAGGAGCTAGTATAAAACGCACAGTAATATGCTTAAATATGTGTCCTAAATTTCAGAAATTAAAAAGCCCCTATTTAGTTGTATAAGCCAGAAATTGTTGTTCCCTGTGAGCAGGTAGCACTTCATTGTGTATTTTTAAAGATCCTGTTTTGTGTGTTTATTTATAGGAGTTGGGAGGGGGATGAAGTTTTTTGGAAGAACTATAAATATTTGCACTGTTGTGAGCCTAATTCTCAATCTTAGTCTTTGGGAAATTTTGATGTATTTTATTGAAATTATATGTAGACATAGTTAAAATTAAATATTACTAGAAGGGTTTGGTGGTGGGGGGGGCTGATGTGTCCTCACTACCCTATTCTGCTCTCGAGAGGCAGCAACTCTTAGCTCCTCGTTCTTTTTAAAAAATTATTATTTTTTTTTTCTAGGAAAATTCATCCTAAAAATATTTTTAGAATGGAATATAACAATCTGGAAGGTAGAACAGTGGTTACCAGGGGCTGAGGGAAAGGGGAAGAGGAGAGTTGATATTTAAAAGGTACAGAGTTTATGCCGGGATTGATGGAAAAGTTCTAGAAAAGTCCAGTAGGAGTGGTTGCACAACACACTGAACATTGTTAATTATCACTGTACACTTAAAAACAGTTAAAGTAAACTTTGTTATATATATTTTTTACCACAGTAAACAGTATTTTTTTTTTTAAAAAAAAACATATTCCAAGTTTACTGCAGTCAACATCTAAGTTCACTAGTGATGAATCTAATGATAATCAGCAGAAATGTAAATTAAAATTAAATATTGCTTTAAAACTTTGGGCAAGATGAGATTGTTTGATGAATGCCCCAAAAGTCACAATGCATGCAAGAGAGTGAGAGGAAAAGGGAGAGTAGGAAAGTAGATAGAACGGAAAACTCAAAAGTTCCTCTGAAATATTATTTTGGTTAAATCCCTATCCTCACAGAATAATTCATTTTTAAATCTAACACAGTTCAATCTTTCTGTTAAAAAAAAAAAAGATACTGCTAGGCATGGTGATGCACACCTGTAATCCCAACAACTTGGGAGGTTGAGGCAAAAGGATCCCAAGTTTGGGCTGGGGATATAGCTCATCTGATAGAGTGCTTGCCTTGCATGCACAAGGCCTTGCATTCAATCCCCAGCACCACACACACAAAAAGAAAAGATCCCAAGTTCAAGGCCAAACTTGGAAACTTACCAATACCCCATCTCAAAACAAAAATAAAAAAAGAACTGGAGGTATAGCTCACTGGTATAGCTCTTTCCTAGCATGCTTAAGGCCCTAGGTTCAATCCCAAATACCACAGAATAAACAACAGAAAACGACATATTCTAAACCATGTTTCTTCCAAATGAATTGGCCATTCCCTCTGAGATACTGAATAGTCAACAGACCAAGGGAAGGTATCACTCTTAGGTCCTGTTTGAAACCAATAGGTACAGTGAACATTGGTCTTGATTCAGGGCTTAGTCCTCCTCTTTTATTTATTTATTTAAAAAAATTTTTTATTATTAGTTGTTCAAAACATTACAAAGCTCTTGACATATCATATTTCATACATTTGATTCAAGCGGATTATGAACTCCCAGTTTTACCCTGTATACATATTGCAGATTCACATTGGTTACACATCCACTTTTTTACATACTGCCATACTAGTGTATGTTTTGTATTCTGCTGCCTTTCCCATCCTCTACTATCCCCCCTCCCCTCCCCTCCCCTCCCATCTTCTCTCTCTACCCCATCTACTGTAATTCATTTCTCTCTCTTGTTTTTTTCCCCTTTCCCCTCACTTCCTCTTATATGTAATTTTGTATAACAATTAGGGTCTCCTTCCTTTACCATGCAATTTCCCTTCTCTCTCTCTTTCCCTCCCCCCTCTCGTCCCTGTTTAATGGTGATCTTCTTCTCATGCTCTTCCTCCCTGTTCTGTTCTTAGTTGCTTTCCTTATATCAAAGATGACATTTGGCATTTGTTTTTTAGGGATTGGCTAGCTTCACTTAGCATAATCTGCTCTAGTGCCAACCATTTCCCTGCAAATGCCATGATTTTGTCATTTTTTAGTGCTGAGTAGTACTCCACTGTGTATAAATGCCACATTTTTTTATCCATTCATCTATTGAAGGGCATCTAGGTTGGTTCCACAGTCTAGCTATTGTGAGAATTGTGCTGCTATGAACATCGTTGTAGCAGTATCCCTATAGTATGCTCTTTTAAGGTCTTTAGGGAATAGTCCAAGAAGGGGAATAGCTGGGTCAAATGGTGGTTCCATTCCCAGCTTTCCAAGGAATCTCCATACTGCTTTCCAAATTGGCCGCACCAATTTGCAGTCCCACCAGCAATGTACAAGTGTACCCTTTTCCCCACATCCTCGCCAGCACTTGTTTGACTTCATAATGGCTGCCAATCTTGCCAATGGAGTGAGATGGTATCTTAGGGTGGTTTTGATTTACATTTCTCTGACTGCTAGAGATGGTGAGCATTTTTTCATGTACTTGTTGATTGATTGTATGTCCTCCTCTGAGAAGTGTCTGTTCAGGTCCTTGGCCCATTTGTTGATTGGGTTATTTGTTATCTTATTGTTTAATTTTTTGAGTTCTTTGTATACTCTGGATATTAGGGCTCTATCTGAAGTGTGAGGAGTAAAGATCTGTTCCCAGGATGTAGGCTCCCTATTTACATCTCTTATTATTTCTCTTGCTGAGAAAAAACTTTTTAGTTTAAGTAAGTCAAATTTGTTGATTCTTGTTATTAACTCTTGTGCTATGGGTGTCCTATTAAGGAATTTGGAGCCCGACCCCACAATATGTAGATCGGAGCCAACTTTTTTTTTCTATCAGACACAGAGTCTCTGATTTGATATCAAGCTCCTTGATCTATTTTGAGTTAACTTTTGTGCATGGCAAGAGAAGGGGATTCAGTTTCATTTTGTTGCATATGGATTTCCAGTTTTCCCAGCACCATTTGTTGAAGATGCTATCCTTCCTCCATTGCATGCTTTTAGCCCCTTTATCAAATATAAGATAGTTGTAACTTTGTGGATTAGTCTAACTGATGGTTTTTCATATTTCCTTTTTCTTTTCTTCTCCTTCCATATCCTTCCCCCACCAACCACTCCTCTTCATTCTTCTTTGTTATAGCATCTGTTCTGGCTTCTTAGAGACAGTATATTTCTTTGTTGCTCTGGGAATATTAGTTGTACTTTAAGTTTTTCTCCTGTTTCTCATTCATCTCCTTTTTCCTGCTCAGTCATGTCTTTCATGTTAGATGATACCTGGCTGTCTAGTCCAATTGTGATTGAAGCACCAAAAAGCTTATTTTAGAATAACGTGCTTTCAAATAAGACTACTGAAGAATTTGCTATACACTGGCCATAGGCTTCACTATGAAGGCACATTTAGTGTTAGCATCTGCAGGTCTTTATCTGGGTATTTTATCCCCATGGAAGATCTTCTGATCTGGCATGGAAGGAACACATGCAGTTCGTTAGCTGGGCAGGGTTGCTATTGGGACCTAGCATGAAACAGTCCTAACAAATCCCCTTGACTCACACCCTACACCTTGTTCCAGTCTACCTGCTGTCTGCCCTTCTGAGATTTTCTGGGTTTCCCATGGATTAGGTGCCTTGTCTGTTTGTGGTATCCCTGTCCCTGCAGCTGATTTTCAAACTCATCAGTTTTCACCGGCTTCTTGTTTCACATATTCTGATTTTGAGTTAACAGGTGCTCTGCATTCTTTGAAGGCAGAATTTATGTATCTGCCATGTGTGTGTGTGTGTGTGTGTGTGTGTGTTTGTGTGTGTGTGTGTTGACATCTGGTATTTTTATCCACTTAAATCCAAGTTGTTCCCCCATTTATTTTAAAGGCAAAGAAGGAAGGCTACTGGGAGGAAGTTTTTGAGTCAGGACTAGTGGTCCTCAATACAGACCATAGAATGAATCCAGGCAGAGAACAGAGTGATTAAAATGAACTATTGGCCTCTGTACTGTTTCCCTATACCTCATCATTAGGTATATATGACTTTTACCTATATTTCAATACCCTGATAAAATGCCATCTTCTTCATAAAGCCATCCCTGCTAACCAATAATAACCTCTCCATTGTCTGAACTATGTAACATTTGATCCATTATTTTCTTATGGTGATTATTCACTTAATACCCAGAATTGCCATTCTCCATGTATGACCCTTCAGCAGGAGGGTCTTCTTGCTAATTTGTCATTCCCTGTGTTGTATATTTGAAGTTTGGATTCATTTCTTATTCACCTTGGACTAACTCCTACCGCCTAACCCAGTTCCTAGAAAAGCAAATGTGTTCAATAAAGATTGAACAAGTATGTGAATACACTCTATAGAGGTTGCATCAATTCTTGTTCCTATTTCAAAGTCCCCTATTTCACTGTCATTCAGAAAGTTTACAGAGAATGAAGCAAGTACACTTCTTAACTGAAACTTCATGTGCCCTAAGACTCCAGTGTGAATTATCCTGCTGCATTACAAATGTTCCTCTGAAGTTCCTGTCTGGGGAATAGTCATATCAAGGAGCCAGAAAGCTTCTACCAAACCGCTCCAGGCAAACCCTGCCTTGATTGCCTTCCTGCTGGATTCTCTTCCAAGTCTTTTCCCCAAAGATCAGGTACTTGAATTCTCTCGTGCACCTCCATTGAATAACGAGACTAGGTAAAATTTCTTGATTTGAATGGAGCTGGGTTTATGGACTGGGCAACATTGGACAAGGTGGCAAATCTTTCTTAACATGAACATTAGCCTGTGTAAAATGAAGAAAACCTTCTCTTCCCCAAGAAGAGATACCAACTTGCATAAGGTTGTCATAATGGTTAAATACATAACATAGATAATGTCCTTAGAAAAGAAAAGATGCAGAATGGATCCTTTTTTGTATGTCTTCTTTCTTAAGATTTTTTTTTTTGCATTTTTCTAAGAACCTGAGCATTTAAAAATTATGGAGAGAGAGTGAGAGAGAGAGAGAGAGAGAGAGAGAGAGAGAGAGAGAGAACGCACGCAAGCTAGAGAAAGCAATGCTGCACTCAAAAGAAAACTCCCCTGGTGTGACATTTCATGATTTTTTTTGTCAAGAAAATCTGAAGGTTTGTGAAACATTTCATGTTCAAGCACCCACAAGTACAGAATCATTTTTCATAGCTTCAATTCTCAAAGGAGAAAAGACTTGGGGACTGTTGCTCAGAGAGTAGAAGTAAGGAAAAACAAAACACAGTTAAATAAAAGCAAGAAAGAAAACACAAAACCCATTCTCCTATCTTTCTTGAAACTCTCTCAGTAATGTTTGGCATGAACAGGTAAATGTTTGCTTCCTTCCTTTGTTACTCGAATTTTCAAAGTTTATACTATCACAGGGTATAAGAAGAGTGTTTCCAGGGCATCCATTTTAAGCAGAACTTTTCTGTTTTTTTTGTTTTTTTTTTTTGTTGTTGTTGAAGTTGATGAGTCCCCAAATGCTGGAAGAAGAAAGAAAAACTTCACACCAGAAAGATGATTGGAGTGTAGGCGCTGGAGTTGTAGGGACCTGCTATCTGAGACACTTCTGAGAGTGCTGGAGTGGCTGGAAAACTTGTGTTTGACAAGATACATCTGGCTTGCAATTAACTCTGCCCGGCAGTATTCCTCCTGTCCTCCAACATGTTTTCAGACTGTTGCCAATGGTGTGTTGGGGTGGTACACAATTTTCCCTGCACGGAGATGGAATAGCTTATTCTCCCTTCCTAAAACTCTTTGGCAGTCTCAGGAAAAATCTATCCTGCCAGAACTCCACTGGCTAATGCTAATTCCTATTACATTTAGCCACCTTATTATTATTTTTTTTAATCTTAAAGTCAAGACAATTAAATTTTTAGATGTGGCAGAAATGAAATGTTAGTTCATACCAGTGAAGTCCATCAAAATTTAGGGAGAGGCTGGGGAGTCTTGTTTCAGATAATTCATTTAGGATGAAAACAGAGCATTCCCTTGGGGAGGAGTAAAACCATCTTTGGGCTCCAGATGCAATCACAGGGAAGTGATGTTTATCAATGCCTACTATATGCAAGGCGATCCACATAAACTCTTTGATGAAATCTGCCCTTGGGTCCTCTGAGGAAGATGTTAATATTCTTATTTCCACGATAAAGAAATTGGTTCAGAAAGATGGAAATTTATGTAATGTAATAGAACTCATTAGGGGTCCAGACAAACTCAGAAGGCTCTTCTTTTATTATGCTCTTTTCCTTTTAGGGAGGTATGGACCAGAAACTCCACAAAGAATTACCCAAACAGATATTTAAAATTAGGTGTGAGTGCCCCTGAGCTCCAGCTTTCTCTCATGCCCGTCGCTGACTGGCATCTTGCCATCCCCGAGAATGCAGATGTCCTCATTGGCCTCTTTCTGCTCTTTCCTGAAAGCTCAGCTGCTGCCCCATTCACCAACAGTGAACTTATTCCCTTTCTCCTTT